TTAAATGTGTAGGCAACCAACACACTGAAACTCAAACTCTCTTAAGTACATCATGACCCACAATGCAAGTAATCACTGTAACTGAAGTCAGAGGTTCCTTACACACTAGGAATTTAACTGTTCCATCTTTACTTGCAGAGTGATGTCATCTTGATGCATTACACTAGTGCTAAAACTGATCAAGTATGTGAGGAATAACCATAATTTCTTGTTTTTTGGTTTATCATGCAGTGTTTAACCTGGGGGTGTATCGGAGGGAAGCAGTTAAAGCCTACAAGTCTTATGACTTCTTCAGACATGACAATGAGGAAGCCATGAAGATACGAAAGTAGGATTATATCTTTGTTGGATTTTAATGGCATGACCATTTTGTCATCATGACTCACCCTTATGTCTTTCCAAACCTTATGACATTGTTTCTTCCGTAGAACATGAAAGGAGATGTTTTGCAGAATGTCCAAGCTGCTCACTTTCACACAGTGTCCTGTGTAGAAAAGATCAGTTTAGATATTTTTACAATGTTAATAATGATAGAAAAGTACATGTTGTCAGTAAACCAAGAAACAAATGTAATTAAAGAAAGCCAGTTAGACCCAAGGATATTTCAACACATTTCCTCAAGGTTACATTAATGCACTTCTAACAGGACAGTTCATGTTTTTCCTGTGAACTGAATTTATTTGAATTAGGTACATGTCTATTGTTGCATTTTTTCATTTTCACAAATAGACAGTGTGCCTTGGTGGCCCTGGAAGATGTAAAGACTTACCTTAATGAGGAAGGTGGACAAATAGCTGTAAGGATTTACCTTTTCTCTGTTCACATCAATTATTTACTTATTTACTTAAATTTAATAGGGTTTAAGAATGTTGATAAGGTTCAAGACTTCCTTCTTTATATTTGTTATAATCTGTTTTTGTCCTTTTAAGGTATTTGATGCTACAAACACAACTCGGGAGAGGCGGGATCTTATATTAGATTTTATACAGGAGAATGCATACAAGGTATAACTTCCATTATATGATGAGTTATCTTTTTGTAAAAGTGACGTGTGGTCACCATTTTCCTATTTCTGTGTGTTTACTTTTACAGGTGTTTTTTGTGGAGTCAGTATGTGATGATCCAGAGGTTATTGCAGCTAACATCCTGGTATGTTGTGATGTTTGGTTTGCATTTCCTTTAAACTAATGGTATAATAAAGTACAGCAACATACCAGTATAGGTTTTTATGGTCTTCTCAACAGTTGTCTCCTATGTGCTCTTATATCTTCAGGATGTCAAGGTTTCAAGTCCAGACTATCCAGAGACACACAGAGAGCGAGTCATGGATGATTTCCTGAAACGCATAGAATGTTATAAAGTCACTTACCAGCCACTAGATCCTGATGAATATGACAAGTAAGAATGTTTAGAAAATAGACACATGATAGCGTATCTGAATGTACATATGTTTTGTAAGCGAAGTACATATCCCTTGCGAGTAGTTTGCGAGCGCCCTGCGTGAGTTCATTGAGGAGCATAAGCTGTCTGACTTGAAGGTTTGGACCAGCCAGTTAAGAAGAACCATCCAGACGGCTGAAGAGCTGGGAGTTCCGTATGAACAGTGGAAAATCCTCAATGAGATAGATGCTGTTAGTATGCCAAGATCCCATCTGAGATTACATGCAGTTTATATGTATTATACTGTGTGTACATTCATCAGTGTATATTGCTCTGACACAGGGTGTATGTGAAGAGATGACCTACGAAATTATCCAGAACACATTCCCAGAAGAGTTTGCTTTAAGGGATCAGGATAAATACCACTACAGATACCCGGGAGGAGAGGTACAGCACGTCATGAACGTATCTCTTTGTTGCAGTTCTTCAAAGTATGTCCCTTCTCACTCTCTATAGTTGAGTAGGTTGTTTGGTTTTTGTTGGTTTCTGGTCTAACTATTTTAAAAGGCTCTCTTTTCTCGCAGTCGTATCAGGACCTGGTTCAGCGACTAGAGCCTGTGATTATGGAGCTTGAGAGACAAGGCAATGTACTAGTCATCTGCCACCAGGCAGTTATGCGCTGCCTTCTAGCCTATTTCTTGGACAAGAGTGGAGGCAAGATGCATTTTCACTTATGAAAATGACTAAAAACAAGTTCTTTTTCCTGCTGACCATGAGATTTTTGCTTACCCTTCTGATATTTTCAATGAAAATAAATAAATAAATAATTAATGTGAAAAAAGTTTTTAAAAATGTCATAAATTGTGACTTTTGATCAATTTAATGCAATAATAATGCAGTAATTATCTATATTATAATATTATAAAATGCATTATATATTTAGCAATGTATTTTCATGTAGTATTGTTTCTTTAATATTCTTCGATTTATAAAAAAAAAAAAAGATCAATAAAAAATACTGATTGCTTTTCACCCATTCTAGCTAATCATTCTCACAAAAATCTCATACCTCATTTTTATCAGACAGTTATACTGATAACTGAGCAGAATAAGTAACAATAATGATCACTGCATCACAGTAACGTTTAAGACTGTCAACTGAAACCTATTTATATTATTTTTCTTTTCTTTCATAGATGATCTGCCCTATTTGAAATGTCCTCTTCATACTGTCATGAAGCTCACTCCGGTTGCTTATGGTGTGTTGGACAGTTGTTTCCTCACTTTTGTTCATCCCCAAACTTCTGCTCACAGATCATTCTGGTTCATGTTTTAGGCTGCAAAGTGGAGATGTTTTATCTGAATGTGGAGGCAGTGAATACACATCGGGACCGACCACTGGTGAGTCCACATCTGTCTCTGGTGTTCTCTCTTGCAGTATGAAATATTAATGGAGAACATTAAATATTCATTTTAAAATAATTGGTGCCACATTTATCTCTTAGATTTGTGTCTTTTTTCAGCAATGTTTTTGAAAGCATGCTATGTTTTCCTTTTGGTATCTTATAGCTTTTATTTTGATCTGGAATTGCAATTTCATCACTGCATGTTGGTGTCTGTGATGCTTGTTGTTTTTTCTCAGAGAACTCCCTGGTTAAAGCAGCTTTTTGGGTTCAGTACAACTTAAGCTCTATCACCAGCATTTGTGACATGCTGTCAGTTACCACAGAAAATAATTTTGACTAACCTTATTAACAAAATAGAATAAAAAAGTACATTTTATTACAATGGGGACACTGCATAATGTTACATGCACACTATACTTGACAATATGGCACTAGCTTAATAGAATCACTTACTTCAATACTGCAAATCTGGAAAGACAGTAACTTTCACATTTGGTTATCAGGGAAAGAAAAACTCAGAATCAGAATGTGTAACCAGAAATTCTTCCACTTGGAACAATAGTTTCACATCTACTGGCAATTTAGGCAACTTTACAGCTCAAATAACATGTTTGTACAGACAAACTGATGTAAGTGCTTTAACCACAATACAAGTTGCACATCTGTGCTTTTAAACCTTCTTGTATGACTTGCCCAATCGACTTTCATTCTAAGCAGTGCCGTTATTGGTACCTAAAATGTATATTATATATATAAACATATATTAACTATTATAAAGCATAGCAAACTTACTCAAACTAAAACTAAAAAAGCTAATTCAAAATATTAGTGATATTATAATGGCATACAAATATTACTAAAATAACACTGATTCTAAGTGCATTGCTGTAAATGTAATTGTGGTTATTTTTAACTCAATAACGGGTCAAAAGTTTTGTCTGTGGTAACAGCTTAACTTGTTAACCCATAACATTCCTTTAAGCTATGTTCTCTGTGGTTTAATCAAACTGTCAATCAAAAGGTTTGATTAAACATAAATCTTCTTCCTCTTGTGCTTATTCACCTCATCAGAGTGAGGTTCAGCGCTCCCCTCTAAATGTTGTTGACTGCGAATAATAATTGTACATTTGTGAAATACAGGTGTGTGTGTGTGTGTGTGTGTGTGTGTGTACTGGTATATATGGTTTATGAGGACACAAATGTGTATAATGACATGGGTACTACAACATAAACATGGTTTATGAGGACACTTCCTGTGTCCCCGTAAAACAAAAGGCTTAAAAAAACATAAAAAACATTTTGAAATTCAAAAATTGCCAGTAGTTTTCTGTAAGGTTTAGGTGTAGGGCGATAGAAAATACAGTTTGTACAGTATAAAAACCATTACGCATATGGAGAGTCCACGTAAACCACAAACGCAAGTGTATATGTGTGTGTGTGTGTGTGTGTATTATAGCTATGATGTGCCAGCAGCCTGTGTTGTATTGTAACTGTGGGTTTGTGTTGTGAGTTATGCTTATCCGTGGGTTGAACGCTCCATTAAACGACATTGTGTTTTAGTGATGTGTGTTTCATCACTGCATTGATATGTTTGATGTTTTGTAATGTTAACCTGGAGTGATTTATTATACTTTTTAGTCTGTATATGGATAAATATGGATTATCTTTGGGAATACCTGCAGCTAGCATGTCACTTGATTGTTTGGTGGAGATTGAAGACTGAAGTGTCTTGTTTGCTATTGAGATGTATGCTAAAGTTCTCTAAAGATGAGCTATGTGTGTAGGCAGTCTCTGTTTTAACCCAGTCAGTCTCTCCCATCTCAAACCAGGGGAAAGTCAGACGAGACTCCGCCCCTCTGCTAAGGCGGAATAGTTACACCCCCCTCTCCAGTCATGACCAGGTTAAGCGGCCCCGCCTCTACAGCGCTGGCAACTGGCCCTGGCTGCCCCTCACCCCCTCCCCCACCACCCTGATGCACCACGGGGCGCTGCTGCTTCAGCAAAGCCAAGTTAGTGTCAGAACCTAAAGCCCTGTAACATTAAATGGACTCGACTTACCCGGTGTTGTACACACTAACCCACCCCTCACCCTGGTGTTCTGAATCACCCCTGAATGTCACACCCAGTAACGATTGTGCTAACTGCATGAGTGAGTTCAGTTTGGCAGTCTCGTTCTTTTTTTTTTTTCTTTTGTAAGTGCATGATCTTTGCTAACCTCACCCCCTCCCCCACCACCCTGCACATCCCCGACTCGCCAGACGGGGCGCTGCTGCTTCAGCAAAGCCAAGTTAGTGTCAGACTCGATTGACCCAGTGATGTCCTGACACTAACCCACCCTCACCCTGGTGTTCTGAATCACCCCTGATTGTCACACCCAGCACTGATTGTGCTAACTGCATGAGTGATTTCAGTTTGGCAGTCTCATTCTTTTTTTTTTTCTCGGCGCATGTTCTTTGCTAACTCTTTGTTCAGGTTGGGATTCTTTTTTGTTGTTCTGTATGGGTGCTCACCACAGATCATACAATAATCATAACTTACCAGCTAACTAATTGGCATTATCTTACTTACCTTTATAACAACAACATCTAATTGTTTTCCTTCTCTTTTAGACTTTCTATTAAGTATTTTTTCTCTATAATACCAGATCAAAATCAGTGAATTATTTTCTCGTTGCCAGTTTGTTTCATGTGCACCCCAAAATTAAAATTGTGTCATCATTTACTCAACCTCATGGTTGTTTCAAAGTTGCATGATGTACTTCCTTCTATGGAACATAAAAGGAAAAACATATCTGCTCTTTTCCATACAATGAATGTGAATGGTGACCAAAAATGGTTAGTAAAATTTGGAATAGTTCACCCAATTAACTTGAAGATTTGCTCATCCAAGATGTACATGACTGAGTTTGTTTCTTCATCAGAACTGATTTGGTCAAATTTAGCATTACATCACTTGCTCACCAATGGATCCTTTCCAGTGAATGGGTGCCGTCAGCATGAGAGTCCAAACAGCTGATAAAAACATCACAATAATCTACACGGCTCCAGTCTATCAATTAATGTTGTGTGTAACAAAAAGCTGCATGTTTTAATGAACAAATCCATCAAGATTTTTTTTAACTTCCAGCTAAAATACAAGTCCTGTATCAATAATATTGCATTCTCTTGTTGACACAGATAGCCTTGTGGTTAATGCGCTGACATATAACGCAACTGAGCTCTGTCTCGAGGTCCTTTGCCGATCCCGCCCCCTCTCTCCACCCAATGCTTTCCTATCTGCTCTCTACTGGCTTTAAAAAATAATAATATTGCATTTCCACTTAGAAAGTTGTCTTGTCTGAATCAGGAGAGAAATATGCACAGATCAAGCTGACCCTGGTCACCATTAGCTTTCATTGTATAGATACTAGCAGCATATAATCTCCTTTTGTGTTCTGCAGAAGAACAAAAGTCATATGGTTTGGAATGACATGAGGGTGAGTAAATGATGACAGAATCTTCATATTTTGGGGTAAATCTCTTCAAAGTGATGTGCTTCAGTAATGTCCATGTTTTACTCTGTCTCTGAACATGCCAATTTGTCCTTGGGCCTCAGTTCTCCATATTTGTCTCTCCTCTTTCTTCCTCCCCTCCTCTTCATCCTTCTCCCTCTATTTTCACAGTCTCATGTGGTTGGCAGTCATCTGTGAGTATTCCATGAGTTTGAAAGCTTTTTCACCCCATTGCATTTTTAGAAAGTAGTTTTCGGTGTATGTGCGATGTCACAAACCATGTGCTGTTGTGATGATTGTATGATGATTCTCGATGATCTTGCATTTACGTTAGAGGTTTAAATCACATGTTTTTATATGTGTAGATTGTGGCTTGATTGTGATGAGTGACCGAATTATGCAAATGCTCTAAAGCAGAACTCTGTAGACGCATGTTTTCCAGTTGTCATAGGGTTGTGACATTATATCTTTTCAGATAAACCTATTTACCCTTTCAAAAGCCAAGTGAAACCAAGTGTTACACCAAGTGAAAGTATCATTTATATACTGTGAGCATAAGTGATCACTTAGAGTTCAAAGAGTTGAATTGTTTTAAATTAAACATGTGAAGTGGTCTAGATAGTTTCTGAAGGAAGCATTCTGGTACTTAAAGATCCTAATACTCTCCTTATGTTTATCTTTACCTTGATCGTTTTTTTTTCTTCTATTTTTTGAGGACTCCTTGTGTGAAGGAATCAACTTTGACTGCCCAGACGAAGCTAATGACCATTTCCGCTTCTGAATGAGATGGACGATTTTCCAAAATCCTGCATGAAAATTAAACTTTGCTTTTAGATTCTCCCACTCTCACCTTCTGCTTGTTTTTTCGGTGACGGAACTACATTTCCCATCAGCCCCTTGCATGACATCACCACTGCTGTGACTACAATGAATCCTATAATTTATCATCAAGAGATATATGTATATTGATAACTTAAATATGCTCAGTTATTTTAAGTGATGATGCCTTGTTGAAGACGGAGCAGAGGAGATCCTCTCCATGAACTGAATGTGATCTGTTATACTTTGGACACGATGTGGGTTGTGCAAATGATGATAACCTCAGTACAGAGTTTGTGTTGCAATACAGTGTTGTTTGCAACAATGCATTTTCACAATCATAACTATTACAACACAGACTGTAGTCAGTCATCCGAATGAAGAAAAGCTTCTTTCAGGGAATCAGTGGGACAGAGATTAGAGGAACAGTATATATATTATAACAAGTAAGTTTGTGCAGATTGTGGCTTAAAAGGAATGCACTTAATGAGACATTTTTAATGACAATGAAATATTTTTTTTTTGTCTTGCACATTTTCTTAATAAGAATGATAGTCCTGTGGGATATTGTACAAAGTTCAAGCTTGTGATGTAATATTTTTATAGAAACGTATTTGTGTGCAGCATCAGGACAAAATGACAAGGATTTGTAGGTTGCCGTATTTAAATGAGGTGTATTTTATAGGTCAGGTCTCTGCTGGAGATGCTACAAATATAGTTGTTTTATTAAGGTTTTGAATGTAGTCTGTGCTCTTTAAGCAAGAAAGGTTTTCTCTGGTTATGTGTTTGTTAAAAAAACTGGAATTACTAGCTTTACAAGTATTTGTGTGTGAGGAGCTGCACTACTCAAATACAATTCACATCTCAATCAACAGCATGTCATCAACCAATGACACTGCATAAAACAGTTAAATAATGTGCCCTATGACTATCTTATGGTTGAATGTTTAAAGAAAAAATGTCTCAAGTTCTGTATCTGTCCACTAATTCGTTCCATTTTTTTAAACATATTTAATCATGTTTTGCCTCACTACTTCATTTTAAATGTGTGACATTATTTTTTAAAAGTGCAAATATTCCATGTACTCTCTGAATTAAATGCTGCATGCATAATACAAAATTATAAATAAATTAGCAAAATGCTGCAGACTTGTGCTGCTGTGATCAGTGTCCAAGACTTGAACATCATCAGCACTTGTAAAACGGAAGTTTTCACCACAATCAAAGCTGCAGCTGAGATAGCCAAGCATGCATCGCCTTTAAGTAGTGGCTAGTGTGGTGGCACAATACAAACTGCCCACAATCTGACTGAACTTTTGGCAATGCCACAGAATGGAAAATATATGACTCATTATCAGACCTTGGAAAACTGTCCGCAATGTTTTGAAATATTGCTTTCTCCAAATACAATTAAACATCTGTTATGTCAGAGTCACATTAATGTGTTATTTTTATTCTGTCAGAATGGTTTCATATGTTAATAGGTGAAACAGTGGCATTACGGCCACCAGATGGCGCTAAAACACTTTTTTTTTTCAGAGAGATTCGTAGCAACAGACGAGCTATGAAGTCTCTTGTTTTAAAAGCGAAGAGTAGTTTTTGTCACGGGCTTGTTACGTTATGTGCAAACAATGAGATACTAGAGACTGTGGTAGATGTTGGTAGCAAAAACCCCCAAAACTTTATTACTTACACCACATAATAAAATATTTAGAACACAAATTTACATTAAAATGCTATAATATGAGGTCAATAATAGACACCCGTCCACTAAGATAAAAAACCACAAACGAACGTTGCTACACAACAATAAATAAATAACAATATGAACAAATGATGACTGGAACACTGTATTGACCAGTCAATAGTCAGTAGGCTACTAAGAATTTTGGGTCAAATATTCTTATTATAGTTTACTGTTCCATTATACTCAAGTAGCCTAGTAGTAAATTAACTTGTTTATCATGATAATAGCTTGAGATATTCTGCAAGATTTATACTAAAACAAATGTATCACAACTAAAGTCTTATCAGTGTCCTAAATAACATTTGCCAGTAATATCCAGCCTGGCCATTGCACTTCCTCTTTATCATATCATAATAGTGTGACTGACAGAAATGAATGGCTGCACCTGGAACACACCCACACTGCCCTCTTGGTGTTACATAACCCTGATGGTGATAGAGGAGAACCACAAGAGAAGTATTAACCTCTGAGTCCCTGCAGGTGGAGGACGATATATGCTCTAATATCTAAAACTGCCATGTTTACAATGCCAACCCATACATGGGTGCAAAACCGGATTTTAACCTAGCCTACTCCTCCTCTTGTTTGTCTGCTTAGATGCTAAATGTATTGTATTTTGACAACAAATCATTCTACTCTGTCTTCAAAATTAATGTGTCGAAATTTCACGGATCAGCAAGAGATGAAAAGTGCAGGTGCTTTCTCACTGATTGTTGTAAGAACATGTTGAAGAGCTCTTGACAACTTTTTGAGGTTTCACCTAAGCACAAGTGTTCCAGATTGACCACAATACCACAGTTGACCTATCTAGGGACGATTACATAGATCATCATTCTGTCATTAATGTTTCCTCTCTTTCCCTCCAATTACTCTTTCACTAATTTCCTTCTGATTTGTTTTCCCTGCTGTTGTCTTTTGAGTTTGTGGTTGGTACAGACAGGTAATTAGGCCTCTCTTTCTTGAGGAGCACACTGGAATCTTTTGTTGGTCTTTTCCTGACTACCCACCGAGATCCTAGCAGGACTGGTTTTGCTCAATGTGTCTTTTAGATGAATGCGATATAAAACTAATATTATTATATCAATACCACATGTGCAGATTACATTGGCTCACAATGAAGCTAATATCAAATTCCCAGTAACGCATCTATGGAGCGATATTGTTAGTGAAAATATTTAATATTATTGATCAAAATATTTCCAGCTTGAAGCATTTAAGTTTGATCTCAATAGTATAAAATGTAGGGTGATTTTTTTTGGGGGGTAAATAAAGAAAAACGTATACACTGTAATTATGAAACAAAGCGACATATTTGTACTAGACAAGTGTAAAATTACTGTGGATAAAAAAATTATATTCTGAACCCATGTGGATTTACACAAACTGAGAAAGTCAAAAAGTGTTACTTTGTGCCCCGCTCTCCCCTCCTGAAAACTAATTTTAGACATTCTTTTATTTGTAACTTTATCACTGCTTGTCATTTGTGTATTTGTTCTTTTTTTTACTTTTCTTTAATAATGTTTGAACTTGTTTAGTTATGCTACTAGTTTTAGAGGAGGGGGGGATGCTGACCCAAAAAATGATTCGATTCGTGACTCAAAACCCATCCAACCCTGTTGCACCCCTACTCTTGACTTATTATTTGAAGGAAAAATATACAATCACAGACATTTTTGATCGTGTTTCCGCTGAAGTTTAGCCAATGCTTTTGTCAAAAAATTGGCTTTTTTATTCAGGCTAGTTAAATTCACAATCTGAGAGTGGCTGCCTGAAGGGCTACCGGGGATTTTGACATTTTTGTGAACCCTGATAAATATAATGCAGTGTAATTTAAAACTCTTGGCTTTAGTGATGTATGATACTCAGTGACAAGTGAAACAGAATGATGTGTAAGGATCACACCTGTGTGTGTGCAGGCATACGTGTGTAATCGAGAACAGCAGGGAGTTGCAGTTTAGCACCGTAATGTGAGAGATCGAGGTCACCCAAAGCAGCGCTCACCTGTCCGAGAGCTTTCAGGGGAATTTGATATCCTTCACTCACAGCGTGTCAGGCAGAAAGAAAAAGAAAAGAGAGAAAGCAAGCAGGGTGGGAAAGAACCCGAACCTCAGAGAAGTCGCTAATAATTATTATTATTGCGTGGCTCGCTAGAATTCTCTATTCTGATTGGTTAAATAAGCTTGTATGACTGTTTGTGACTCGTTTGATGTTTGTCTCCCACTGCACAAGTTTAAAGGAATAGTTGGCCCAAAAATGAAAACGTGTTGAAAATGTACTCATCCTTAGGCCATCCAAGATGTACATGAGTTTGTTTCTTCATCTGTACAGATTTGGAGAAATGTAACATTACGCTCACCAATGGATCCTCTGCAGTGAATGGGTGCCGATGAGTCCAAACAGCTGATAAAAACATCACAATAATCCACAAACTCATCTACATTTTGGATGGCCTGACGGTGAGTACATTTTTAATTATGACGCGGTTATGGTTAATTCAGGTAATTTTAGATGCCTAACCATCATGCAAATAGGCAAACCCAGCTGTCTCAGACCGCATCACGCTGGGATCAGGAGCCGTGTAGTTGCATCTGTGTGACTTGAGCAGTTGTGTGGCCAGGTTTTTATGAGCTGTTTAATAGCAGTGAGCTGAACAAGGCCATTTAGTGCCGACTCAGTGCTGCAGTGTGAATAGGGTTTGGTTTGGTCCTCTCGTAAAAACACTGTGTCCATTATTATGGGCAGAGAAAGGAGAGAAGGGGTGAACATGGAAAAAGGAGGGGCTCTACCTAAAGACGGGCTGTAAATCCAAACATGCACTACCATTCAAAAGTCAGTCATATTTATTTTAAGAAATTCATACTTTATTTAGCAAGAATGCATTCAATTGATCATGTGACAATAAAGGCTTTTACATTTTAAATAAATGCTGCTCTTTGGAACTTTCTATTCATTAAAGAATCCTACATTTTACCAATTTTAAAATTAATTAAAATAGAAAACATTTTAAATATAAATTTTTCTGTTTTTAATGTATGTTTGATCAAATAGCCAAATACAGCCTTGATGAGCATAAGAGACTTGAAAAACGTAAAAAA